ACTGGATATATCTGACCGTCACTGCAAAATGAACATCCTTCGAGTGAATTTTTTGGGACTTCATTTCAAAGGAAACAGTCCGTGGTCACCTCGACAGTAACGCGTGAATATATCAGACCACCTGTCTTCCGCATCACGAGCTTTCTTATGCTGCTGCCGATCTGGTGCAACAGTCCCTCTTCAGGCGTCGAATAGGAGGGCAAATAAATTCTTGTTGCATATTTATATTTATTTATTTAAGGCCCAAGCGGCCCTTTCATCACAAACTTAGTGCTATCGTAAAAAGAAAAAAACACAAAATTGGTAATCATAGCTGCGCGTAAGCAACTGGCACGAGACCGTTCGTTAAGATATGAAAGCGGTTCTTGGACCTTCGATTTTCAGTCTCCATCGCTGGAAAGGAGAGATGGAGGGCCTTCTATATCTGTTTTCACCAATCGTCTCACGTGGTGAATTACCACCCATGTATTATCGATGGCGGCTAGATCAGATGCGATCGCAGCCGAATCAAATTCAAGTATCGCTTTAATTGGGGCCCTCTTTATAAGCAGCACAACAAAGGTTTCTGAAGGAACGTTATGTTGATTTGTTTGGGTTTTGTGCTTTTTCACAAAAGTAGCCTTTTTAGCAGTCCGTCGATCCTGAATAAATTAAGCCTTGATATTTGACCAAGCACCCAAATCTCAATACTGGAAAATCGGAGGATATTTTATGTCAACGGTTTGCTGTTTAATCATTTATGTTCCGAGCATCGCCTAGCGTTCAAGATATACTCATTTTTGTATGTCTTTGATTCACGAACGCTAACGTTGATGAATGTTAATTTGCCTTGTTATGTTTGACTATCTTTTGTTGACACGCGGAATTATGAAATATAGCAATTTAGCCGATGTTGAATAAGGATGGTTGGGTCGATAACCGACCTGGCAGGGCTTCTGTTCCGTACATAAATCTCGATAATTTTGAGGAAGAACAGTTTGAAAATTCCAAATACATCTTGACTAGCCCTAAATCTCTCGCAGCATGTGACAGACTAAAAATAAAAGTACATATATTTTATTTATTTCATTATTTTTGCCAATTTAGCCGATCGAACTAATTTACAAAAGCATATCTTCGTTCGAAATTCTTCATCCTAGAGCCTCAGTTACTGAAGTAAATCAGATATATTTAGAAAATGAGGATGCGCGTCGAAGTATATAACGTTCCTTTAATAATATTTTTCAGATAAGCTTCGACAGTGTCGAAA